ATTTAGAATCTGCATTTGCTGAAGCTTTGGGACAAGGGCAGCCAAGAAGGGAACCCCAACAGGGTATGAGCCCAAAGTCCGCTAGCGCGCCAGAAGGGGATACTTTGGCGGTTCTTGCAACTGAAGTTCCAAACTACGGCTCAGCAAATGATGAAGCAGTTTCTGTAAGAGCGTTGGCTGTTGCGGTAGATTCTCCACCGGCAGTCCTGCAAGCTGGAGGGAGCGAGGTGGCACACTTCGGCGAGAACCAGGCTGGAGTAGTTGGGTTGTGTTACGATCATCAAGGAGATTCAGGAATGGCTGGATCGATGGTTGGTAGTCAGACCGCTACTCAAGCAGCTAACTGGGGCGCGGATGTGTTTGCGCAAAGGAGGGCTTCGCTTCCAATCTGGTTGCAGAGGATTGGTTCTTTCTTTCAAGAGATCAGGCAGCAGCAAGCTACCGCCCCAATGTGGATGCCATCTCCATTGGGTAGTCCCGAGACCCCTGGCGATGCAGGACAGCACAGGGCGTTGTTCAGTCAAGATCAGTGGGCTAGGGTGAGGACTATGGAGCAAAGGGCTCCACTGCTGTTTGGACAATCTCAACGAAGAGATGAAAGTTCCGGTGGGAGTACGCAGGAGGCGGTACAGGAAGAGGTGAGAAGACAGATGCAGGGTGTGATGGGTCAGCTTCAGAAGTCGCAGCAGGAAAATGAGCACCTGAAGCGTGAGGTAATGGCTTTGAGGGCCCAGCACGTGATGAACACCCCCGAACCTGCTATTCGTACTCCTGTGGAAATGAGCACTCCTCCTCAGCTCCCTAATCACCTGAGACAAGCTCCTTTGCCGATCAAGGATCGAGAAGAACTACCTCCCATGGCCGGTCAACCGCAGGTTTTTGGAAATTATCTGCGTGATAACGAGGGTCAGGGAGCGCCGTCGGCAAGGATTGTAGCAACCTATGAGTGGAATGGCATTGCCAGCGTCTACGGCAGGTCCACATGGAATGGCATTGCCAGCGTCTACGGCATGTCCACATGGAATGGCCTTGCCAGCGTCTACGGCATGTCCGCATGGAATGACATTGCCGGCGTCTACGGCATGTCCGCATGGAATGGCGTTGCCGGCGTCTACTGCGTGTCCGCATGGAATGGCATTTCCGGTGTCTACTACAGGTCCGCATGGTATGGCACCCCAGGCTCCTACGGCGGGTTCACTTGGAAGGGCGTCTTCGGCAAGTTTGCAAGCTGTGGCAAAGTCGGGAATGCCGCCAAGGACACCGCCAGAGGTTGGACAAGCGTCGGAGGCGGGAAACAAGTCTCCGGCTCAGGGGGATGCCATGACAAAGCTTCTTGAGGGGCTAGAACAGGTTATAAGTGGGAAGACCCGGGGAGAAGATTTCGGAAAAGGTCCCACGGAACTGCCCAAACTTCCGGAAGTATCTGAAGCTGCATCGGTAGATTATGGAGATTGGGCGCATCAATTGGAAAACATAATGGGCGACCTGTCCACGGGATCTGCTGATTGGTGGGGCCATGTGAAGGATGCCTCGCAACAATTTTTCGAGCAGTACCAAATGGCAGACCAATTCGCCAGGTTGACTTTGAAGCCGGTGGCCTCCCCAGATCTTTGTGACCCCAAATGGGTCCGTTTGGATAAGCGGGCAACGACGATGCTCCTCCAGGCCGTTCCAGAAGATGTTCGAAAAGAACTGGTTGTGGTTAGAGCAAGATCGACCTTGGAGGTGATGTGCAGGCTCATGGTTTTGTATAGGCCGGGTTCCGCAACCGAGAAGTCCCAGCTCCTTCGCAAGATTGAGACTCCGGAGCCCGTGCAGGGACCTCAGGAAGCAGTGGAAGGACTCCGACTGTGGTTGAGAACTTACAATCGAGCAGGAGACCTTTCGTTGGTTGTTCCGGATCCCAGCATCCTCTTAAAGTCCTTGGACAATATGGTCAAGAAACCTCTGAACGACAATCCCGAGATCCTTTTCCGTATGCAGATGCTCCGCTACCACTTGAAGCTTGACCCCAACCCCACGGCCGATGGAGTCCTTGCAATCCATAAGGCTTATCTTGCCGAGTTTGAACAAATTGCGTCCCGCAGAACCAAGCCGCGTTCCGGTAATAACAACAATGACGGTGCTCCGAATCCCAGGATTAGAACCGTGGCGGGCAAGGACGGCAAGGAGGGCAAAGACGGAAGGGGAGGGAAGGAAGGCAAACCATGTCGATATTTCCTAACGGATGAGGGCTGTCGGAGGGGGAAAGACTGCAAGTTCGAGCACGTCATGGACAAGGACAAGAGAGATCGGTGCTGGGTATGCGGGGCCAAAGGACACACTTCCAGGTCGTGTCCGTCAAAGACGAGGGACACTTCGACTTCTGCGGGAAATTCCCCCACTGCAGCTGCTAAGGCAGCAGCTTTGAGCACGTCGTCCTCGTCATCTATGGCTAAGAGAAATGATGGAAGGGATACCTCGGCAGGAGGTTCTTCGGAAGTTCCTGTGACCGGCTCCTCGACCTCTACTACAACTACGATGGCAGAGAACCAAGGTCAGGGCTCTCAGGTGGATCAGCTGTTGGTGGAAGTTCAGAGAATGATGAAAGCTTTCATCGATCATAAATCCCCCACAATTCGAGCTCTCCATCTTCCAGAACCTGCTAGTGTGGCATCGATCCAGGATCCGATGGAGACCCTCATGGGCAGGTATGGACTGATAGACAGTGGGGCCACGCACCCACTGAGGGCAGCAAAGTCATCTAAGGAATTGGAGGAGGCCAAGCAGACCAGTGTTGTGCTTGCTGGAGACCAACGAGTTAGTCTCCCTCAGACGGCCTCTGGAGTGATCCTGTCCGAGACTCAGCCGATTGTTCCCCTGAATAGCCTTGTGAAGACGCTCGGGCACGAGTTTGTGTGGAACCATAAAGGCTGCCGTCTATATCATCCCACGAAGCCCTCCATACAAGTTTTTACGAAGAGTTCATGTCCGGAAGTTCGGGAGTGTGACGCCTTGAGGTTGATCGCAGAGTTGGAGACCGAGAAGGTCAAAGAGGCTATGTCTTCTCTGTCCACGTTGAAGGCCGCCATTGAGTCAACCTAGGACTACAAGCCCGACAGCTGGAAGGACCATCTTCGCAAGTTTGTGGAGTCAGGGCTGAAGGAGCATGGCATTCGGGCCGTGTTCGCAGCGCCCTTTATGAAAGAAATCCCTGCGGAGCAGAAGGTGAAGATCCTGGAGGCTTTCCCGCAGACGGACAAGGAGGCGTGGATGCTGTTGAAGCAGTTACCTTTAAATAGGGCAAAGAGGAGACAGCTATGGAGAAGTCGGGAATGGGTGGTGCACCTGTTCTCCGGCAAAGGAGTAGCGGATGATCCCCTCAGGGCGGTGAAGGGCGAAGTTCTGGAGATTGACCTGATTGCGGGTATGGACTTGAAGAATGTGGAAGTCTACAGCTTGCTGCTTTGGGCAGCCGCGGAGGGCCGTATCAGAGCGGTCATTGGAGGTCCGCCCTGCCGCACCTTTACCCTCCTTCGTCATCGCGAACTTCCAGGCCAACCAAATGCCCCTAAGCCAGTGAGATCTGCAGAAAGTTTGGGGGATTGGAGGGGCTGAGTCAACATGAACAAGGTCTGGTTGAAGGAGATAATCAGCTCATCCTGAGGATGGTGTGGCTTTGGTTGGTGGCGGATGTGGGAAGGCAGACAGATTGGCACCGAGACCTTCGGCTTCCGTCAGTGGCCTTCGGAATGGAGCATCCTGGCGATCCGCGAGATTATCTGGAAGAGGATAGCGCTTTGTGGTCGGCATGTCCGTCAGTGTGGCGAACTGAACTCTTAGAGATGTTGGCTGAGATCATGGAGCTCCGGGAGTATGACTTCGACCAGGGAGCGTACGGGCATGAACAGAAGAAACCAACTGGTTTCCTGGCCAACATGGAGCTGGATCTGTATCAAAGAGATGCTAGGCTATATCATCCTCGGCCGGTCTCTTCAGGAAGCATGGCGGTGTGGGCCTTGGGCTTTCGGAAAGAGATTGCGAGGGCCTTGGACGTTTGGGCAAAACAGCAAGCAAAGCTGCTCCCTGTGGCAGTGAACAAAGTAATGTCCGAAAAAGAGTTGACTGAGTGGAAAGCTCATGTTGAGGCCGGACATTGGCCTTATAGGAGGGACTGTGCGGTTTGTCTCTCGGCTTCGGGAACTGGAAGACCAGCACGGAAAGTCCTCCACAGGGATGCCTACGTGATGAGCCTGGACATTGCGGGTCTCTTCCGAGATGTTGGACAGGATGAGAAGAAGGGTGGCAAGTATCGTTTTGCCCTGGCGGCCACGTACGTGTTTCCTAAGACTACTGGAGTTCCGGAAGACGCTCCCGTTCCTGACACGGAGGATGACCTGGACTTCTTTGAGCAAGGCGAAGATGAAAGCGAGCCAGGCCCAGGAGATTTAGTAGAAGATCCAGGCGCAGATGCCCAAGAAGAAGAGTGGGTTCGCATTGCTGGAGATCTCCAAAAGCCAATGGAATTCCAAACACTTCGCTTTGTGGTTCCTCTGGAAAATCATAAAGGAAAGGACATCCTCGAGGCGGTCCAAGACCTCTACATCTCGCTGCGAGCCGCTGGCTATCCTTTGGCCAGGATACATAGTGACCGGGCAAAAGAGTTCCGGACGAAACAGCTGAGGAAATGGTGTCGTGAGCGAGACGTTTACCAGACCTACACCGAAGGTTTGGCACCCTCTCAGAACGCGGTTGCCGAGAACCATGTCAAGTGGCTGAAATGTCGAGCAAGAGCCCTTCTACAAGATGCGCAGCTGGATAAGATGTACTGGCCATGCGCTATGAAGCACGCCTGCCTTCTTCACAACAAAAGAATCATGGGGCAGAAAGCTCCGGGAATAAGGTTTGGTTCCAAAGTTTGGGTTCGATCCAAGGAGGAGCACCTGGGCCCGTTCGACAAAAGATGGGTGGAAGGTGTTTTTCTTGGTCCCGCTGAAGATGTGCGTGAAGGCTTTGTCATCAAGCTCGAGGACGGCACTTGGTTCCGCACCTTACACATGAGGGAGGCCGTGAATGTCTTGGATGAGAGTGAGGGTGTGGAGACTGGGGTGCAGTGGATCCGACGCCTACAAGGAGAGTCACCGGAAAAACCCGTGTGACCAACCAGGAGGAGGAGTTTATCCAAGAACCTCCTCAGCCGACAACTCGAATAACAAACAAGAGGTCCTTGGAGGGCCCCATACTTCAGCGAGCCGCAGGTCAACCTTCTGGAGAAAGAAGGAAGTTAGTCGAGGAGATCCTGAAGAGCGAGATCTGGGATGCCAAAGAGGCAAGAGCGAAGAGGCCTCAATTGCAAGGGAATTTGGATGCAGAGCAGCGTTACGTCACTTTTGGAGCTTTCCAACATGGAGGCGTCGTCAATGTGACAAACGCAACAATAGAGTTCACCGAGGTGGCGGAAAAGGTCGCAAAAGTGGTCCAGATGGACTTCCCTGGAGAGATCTTCACCTCGGCCACTTTGACCAAGAATGCACTCATGCCCTTGCACCGGGATATCTTCAATTTGAAGGGGTCTTTCAACTTGGTTAGTCCTCTAAAAGTCGGGAAAGGAAGTGCAATATGGCATGACATGAAGTTCGGGGACGAGTTCTATGGCAACTTTGAGTTTCGGGAAGTGGATGGGAAGGAGATGCCTGGCCAAAAGATGAGTGTGGAAAAGCCCGTGAAGGTTATCCCTCAGCGCTGGCATCAACCTATTCCGGGAGAAGGTCCAGATAGGGTGCTGGCAGTGGGTCACACGATTGGTAGTTGGGTGAAGTTGTCTTCAGAAGTTCGAGAACAATTGGAGATGATTGGTTTTGTTGTTCCAAGGGAAGATGTGAAGGTTGCGGCTATGGTGGTGGAATGCGAGGATGGTGAGGTTTTCTCCGTGGATGTGACGAGTGGATCCAGTGGTGAAGCAGCTCCAAATCCCAACACAGCAGATCCAAATCCCAACACAGCAGATCCAAATTCCGACACAGCAGGTCCAAATCCCGA